ACACCAAAGGGGAAAAACCATCGAAGAAGTGATTGATAAATCTGAGTACTAATTTTAAATTGTGTACATTAAAAAAAAAGATGTAATTATAAATTTTGAGTCAAATGACTAGCGGAAAAAATTTGGAACATACATTACAAAAGATTACAATCTTTAATATCTAAAGAGTTTTTTGTTTTTTGTTGTTGTTGTTGTTTTGCTATAGGGTATGTGTGCTCATCAGAGAGACAGAGAGATAGAAAGCAAGAAATCACCCCCCGGGGGGATGGCTACACCGCAATCCCTTCTCCTCCATTCTGCTTTTAGGACCTTGGGCACACACACACATGCGCCTGGCGTGAGTTTAAGCCACCGGGTCCGGGATTCGAACCGCGATCGACTACATGGGATTTCAGCTACATAGCCATTATGCTAACTGCTGGTCCCTCTAGAGAGTACTTACAGGGAGCTGGCACCATGGAGCGACAGTAACACACTGCTCAAAATAAGCTGGATCCCATGTGGTGACCACGGTTCGAATCCACGGTTTGAACCCCTGGCTTGGTTGTCTGGAAGCATACCCACTGAGCACCAGCACTGGAGAGCCAGGGGCTAGGGGAATGTGAAAGGGGACGGCAGGTGACAAGGCAGTGTGTGACCAGGGGTGGGGGGCCGTCTCTCGCTCTCGAGCGCATGCTCTACCATGAATAAAGGTGGGCAAAGAGAGTTCTCACAGCGCTCTTGAAACGTTACCCAAAACTGAAAGGAGAACAAAAACCAGAAACACGAACACCACCCTCGATGAAACCAGGAGACATCGGTAACCCCAAACCACAGGCGGTGAAGACTGGTAAAGGATTTTTGCTGAGAGGACGAGAATAGGGCCAGTTATAAAGAGGAAGAAGTTTGTCCCTCAGAGCCCAAGAAGGCAGGAATAGAAAAGTCTCCGGGAGCCAGAAGGACAGGCTAGGTGGGGCTGGCCTCAGGGCGCCAGCGTAAGAAGCTAAGCCTCCTGTCCCCCCCACCTCCTGTAGTCCGGCAAGTCCCACTCCCTCCCACAGAAGTTTACTCTATGGAGAGACCGGGTAGGAGCGGTCTGGACTCAGAGACCCCAGAAACTGAGGAGGATTCGCGTAGACGCCATACTGAAAACACCCATCACGAACACACGCTGCCGGCACGACACTGAAGATCTCATTTGGAGGGTCTGAACAGGCCCAGGAGAAGTCCAGCAGATACTGATATTTGGGAGTCACGAATTAAAAAGTAACTGGCAAGGGACCAGCAGTTAGCGTAATGGCTATGTTGCCGGACTCCCATGTAGTCGACCGCGGTTCGCGTCCTGGACCCGGTGGCTTAAACTCATGCCAGGCGCGTGTGCATGCGTGCCCAAGATCCCAAGAGGAGAATGGAGGAGAAGGGACTGTGGCGTGGCCATCCCCCCGGGGAGTGATTTCTCGCTTTCCCTCTCTATCTCCCTACTTCTGGCGAGCGCACGCACCCTATAGCAAAAACCTCTCAAAAAAAAAAAAAAAAAAAAAAAAAAGAAACGGGAAACCCAATTTACACCCCGGGGAAA